GACAAGATTGTGGAGAAATTAGTTTCAGGAGTACCAAATGACAGAATAATTCAGGACGCAAGAAAAGTTAACAAGAGCAAATTAGAAAGAATAAACCTAATCACAAAAGGAGATATAGCATATTTAATTAGGAAACATAACATTGACAAAAAAAGGGATGTAGATGATATGACAGCTACTGCTTTAAAAATTGAAGAGTGGAACAGACAAGGAAAAAATCATGCATTTTTATTTAAAAAAGTTGGTAAGGATGTAATATGTTTTTTCTTTGTTATTTCAAATAATTTGGGTGCAAGTAGATAGTGGTGAAAGATTATAAGTAGGTAGGTAGTTAACTTTATAATAAATTTTAGGTGAATGCTATCCTGGTTTAAAGGATGAAGATTTTGCTGTTGGATATATGAATAATGTCATGGAAAAAAAATTACGAGACTTTAGTCGAATTATATGTGTAGATGGAACTCATGGTACAAACAGAAGAAATTTTGAGCTGACAATAGTTTTAGTGAAAGATGAGAATAATATTGGATTCCCTGTTGCCTTTTTGCTTTCAAACAGGTTGGATCAAGTAATTCAAGAAATCTTTTTTAGTGCTCTTCTAACTAGATTAGGTGAAGCAATTGAAGTGGAATATATAATGAGTGATGACGATTCAAAATATTACAATGCTTGGACCAAGGTAATGAGTAAAGAAAGGAAACCCAGAAGACTTCTTTGTACCTGGCATATCATCAAGAACTGGAACATTCAGGGAAGATCAAAAATTAAGAATGCAAAAATTAGAGAAGAAATGAAAAAACAAATGAGAAAAATTTTGAAAGAGGTGGAAGCTACAAAGTTTGTCGAATTAAAAGAAAATTATTTTAGGCATTTAGAAGAGAGTGGTGAAAATGACTTTTTAAAATATTTACAAAAGTAAGAATATCTACCATCTAATGAATCAAATTACTTAAAATTACTATATTTTAGGTATTATTTTCAGAGCGAAGAAAGGATTATGATGTGGGCTCATTGTTATAGGATTAACGTAGGAATAAATACGAATATGGCCATTGAAAGTTTGAACAAGGTGCTAAAATATAACAAAATGTGTGGAAGGCGTAATCTTAGGTAGGATTAATACTAATTTGGATTTCTAAAAAAATTTGTTATAGAGTAAGACATAATACCTATTTGTTTTAAATTTCTTCTAGAGTCGAAAAACTACTAGACCTATTGGATGAACTTGTAGATGACAAAATGTGGAAAAGAATTATACATACTGAAAGACCCAATGCAAATAATTACCAACATAAAATTACCTTAGAAGCACATAAAAAATCCGAACAAATGATTGGTAAAGTAAGTTTGTCAGAATTTGGAAAATTTAAAGTACTGTCTTGTTCAGTAAATGATAAATTTTATTTTGTATCTTACAACGTATTGTGCGACGAAGAATGTAGATCAGAATATTGTCATAAATGTAAGATATGTATACATAAATATGTATGCCAATGTCCAGAGAATACTGTAAAAACAATGCTATGTAAGCATATTCATGCTGTAGCATTGTTTGAAAAGGCGAGAAGCGACTCTGTTTTAGGTTGTTCAAGTTCAGAAGAAAATGGTGTTTTAAATGTTGATGAGCCTACAATTAGCCGATTACTCTACCAGGATGATGTTACTCATTTTATAAATGAGAGTTCAAAAAAACAAGTACATGAAATGACATCACTTGATTTCGAAGAACGACGAGAAGTAAGTTGCTGGATGTTTGGAAAAGCTTTTATTGGGGGTGGCACATTGTAATATTTATTGTAGATTGCATTAGATGAAATGTGCAGGGAAATTTGTGGTTTTGGTAGAACGTTAGGTGAAAGTTCCTTTAATAGGTTTATGGCTGAATTTAGAAAATTCAAATGTAGTAATATGGAACAATTAGATTCTGGAAAAATCTGTAAAAAAAGAAAATTAGAAAAGCAAACGTACTATCCAAATAAAAACAAATAAGTCAGTAAGACTCCTCAAAAGCTTATAAAGTTTTCTAAATTTCGTTTTTTTTTAGGTCAGGTGTATGTTTTTTTAAATTCTCCAATCAGCATATTTTGGTGAAGGGAATCTGTATATTCTATTATATTATTACCTTTAAATTTAAGTTTATTTAAATATAAGGCATGCACAGTAGATTCGATAAATGCTAGGTTGAAATAATGGGCGTGAATAAGGCAAAAGAGCGCTAACTTGGTTGGTTTGTTGGTTGGTTGGTTAGTTGGTTGGTAGGTTGGGTTGGTTGGTTAGTTTTAGTTTTATTTATTAATTCATTATTAATACTGTGCAGGAATAAAAACCTAGGAGGTTGCTATTATTTTACTAAGCATTCATTTGGGCGTATTAATGCAAAAGAACGCTAACTTGGTTGGTTTATTTGTTGGTTGGTTGGTTAGTTGGTTGGTTGGGTTGGTTGTTTAGTTTTAGTTTTATTTATTAATTCATTATTAATACTGTGCAGGAATAAAAACCTAGGAGGTTGCTATTGTTTTACTAAGTATATGCTCAATGTTCACAGCATTATTATCTACCTAGCATTCATTTTTTATACTGTGAAAAAATAATTTAAAAACCTAGCAGTTTATTCATACCCTTACTTTTATCTTTTTTTGGGTGTGGTATTAAATTTTAAGCTCAAAATTTGTATAAACAAAAACAAAATGATGCAAAAGTTTAATTTTGAGCTTAAAATTTAATACCACACCCAAAAAAAGATAAAAGTTTATAAAATGTATTTAATTTTTAATATATTTTGCTTTAAAATAGATTTTTGTTAATTTTTTTAGTCTGTTGTACTACAATAATAAATTTATTAACATAAATCTTATAACATGTTTTATTTTTGCTCTTCCCACTCTTAATTGTTTCCAAAACATCACAAAATCCAATAGGAATATATATTTTAAATCACTTCTAATATTCTATTAATCCTTTTTATTGGATAAATATAGAAAACTTAATTATTAAATTATTCCCATCCATCATTTTAAATTTAGCGCGCCCGGCACCAAAATAAAGCGACAGGACGCCACCGCTCGCGAACTAAACACTATGAGCATTCTTATTGGCTGGGTACAATAGCGAATTAATGTATCCTTGCAAACATCCTCCAGCCAATCACAGACTGTTTTGCCCCTACTGCAACTGCAACTGCAACGACTACGGCTACGTTTTAGAACTATAAATCCGGCTTTAGCGCCCATTTCTTGCAGAGTATGCGATGCAAACTTTTTTTTCATGGACACAGTATACAGTGTTGTTGCCTGGGGTTAAGAGAGTTTTCTCCAAAGTCTTTTATCTATGGTTTTCTCTATATTATAGTAAGAAGATTATAATATTATCTTCTTGACAATAGTTTTCTTCAATATTCAAAATTTTTTTTACTTTCAGACATAAACATACAAGCAGGGTTGCCAGTTCGGTTTTAATTCCTTCAGTAAATATGTAGTCAAATATTCAGTAGATTTCAGTAGACTTATTTTTTGCTCTACAAATTTCAGAAAAGGGTACTAAAATAAAACTATAACGTCGAAAAAATATGTATTTATATAAAATAAGTATTTATTTAGAAATGAAAAAAAGTAACAAAGGGTAACAAAATATATTTACTATAGTAACAAAAAATGTGTTATAACCTTGATTATAACCAAACATTTTCATTAAAAAATATATATAAACATACCTTCGAATTCCGATGTTGATCATATTTTTTTTTCTTTGACGGACCGGAATCTTTATTTTATAGTTAAAGTCCTCACTTGAAAACAAATTCAGTCGCAGCCATAGAAAAAGCAGCTGCGAAGTTCCCGTCCCCATGGTCTTTCACATAACCACTTCTCTTTGACATAATTCCCCCGTAATCCCCGACGGGGATTCCCCGTGGCCCGTGGTCAGTATTACCAACATATCAAGCGCTAAGACGCGTTAGAATTTTAAAAATGCTTGTAACTTTATTTAAATAGAGCGTTCGGAATTTAATGCAAGATAAATGTAAGTGATTAAATAAATATTATTGATAACCATAATAAAGAAACGTCATATATTTTTTTCAGTAGATTACAACATTTTTCAGTAGATCAGTAGATCGATCAGCAAATCAGTAGATCTACTGAAAAATCAGTAGAACTGGCAACCCTGCATACAAGTGTTGCCAACGGGCGGAGAATAGTATTCTCAGAATACTCCGCTTTGCGGATGCGGATACCGTGGCTGAAAATTGATTTTGCTGAAGAATAATTTAAAGATAAAAATTAAAATGCTGTAAACGAAGTATTTACAACAACATAACGATCTATTTTTGTCGCAAATAAAAAAATTATTTGAATAATTTGTTGTACATTTGGCAACATCGTAAAAGAGAACATCTGTTCTAGAACCAGTGTTGCCAATAGGCGGAGAATTTTTCGTGTTGATTTTGATTGTTGATTTTATTATTATTGTTTGTATCATTACATGTAAGCGTTTTATTATTTTTGTTTGTATCATGTAAGCGTTTGAGTTCCTTGTTTTAAAAACACTGTTAAGGTACGTAAACATAAGTTTAATTAGATGTTTGAGGGTTTATAAAATTTCTTTAATGTTTTTATTTCCACCTTCTATATTTTATAGGTTAATTTTGTTTTTGTTTCCAAGTAAACGATACATTATGGGAACAGTATTTACGGAATTGAAGGGATCAATGCAAGAACTGCCTAAGTCACATTTTCAATTAAATTTACATTGTGGCTTCATCTAAGAGTGTTTTACGTAAGGTTTCAGGTGGTATTTTCAAAGTGGCAGAAATATGTGCCCAAGTGCCTTTGCACCTTTATAATCTGTGGTTTGCATTTACTTCAATGGGAGCTTGCCAGGTTTTCAACTTACATGAAAACTCTTTAATTTAATTGAAAATGTGACTTCGGCACTTCTTGCATTGACCCCTTCAATTGTATAAAATACCTGTAAAGTTTTACAAGCTTGTAGGAAAAGCAATTTGTGAAATGAAATGACACATTTGATACATTAATTGAAATTTAAGAATTTGAAAATTGTTATCTAAAGGTGAAAATAAAAGTTTGTACCTACCCCACAAACTTCCAGCTCACCTGATTCCATAGAAAAACCTATGCCTGATTCATTTACAAAGCTTGACATGTAAATATCTATTACAGGTTATTAAGTATTGATTGTAAAGTTTCCATACACAATGGAACAAATAGTCATTAAAAAAGAACCTGAAGAACTAGTTGACGATTCCAAAGGGGATATTTCAATGAATTATGATGAATTGAGTACTGCTGCTGACCAAAAAACGATTTTAACCTCTGGAATAGCAATAAAACAAGAAATTAAAGAGGAATTGGATGATTTTAAAGCATTGCTTGAAATAGGGTAAGCATTGTTGCCATTTAATAAATGACATTTAGTACATTATCACTGAGGGGTAAACCAATGATTAACGGCTAAAGCTTAATTTTCATGTATCCGTTTGTCCGTCATCCGTATGTCAGTTTTTCAATAAAATCGTCCGGTAAGAAATGTTCTAATTTTCATGCATACCGTATGCAGCATACCGTCACCTGAGAATTATAGTGTTCTATCTGCATTTTCTTTTTTTTATTCAGGTTAGTCTTGTTTTAAGTATTAAAGATGCATATTGTTCTATCTATATATAATTGGGGTAGAAATTGTACAGTTTAAGCCTTAAACTTTACAATTTCTACCCCAATTATATATAGATAGATCAATATCATCTTTAAGACTTAAAACAAGACTAACCTGAATAAAAAAAAGAAAATGTAGATAGAACACTATAATTCTCAGGTGACGATACGTTTTTTAATGACGTTTAACGGATTGATTTTGCGACAAATAGAAATTAAGTGTCAGTATATTCACTTACTAAATTTACCTAATGCTTACTTTCATGCATACCGTATGCAGCATACGTTTTTTAATGACGTTTAACGGATTGATTTTGCGACAAATAGAAATTAAGTGTCAGTATATTCACTAACTAAATTTACCTAATGCTTAATTGTCATAGTTACAATTATGTCAACAATTGTAACTTTAACAGTTAGCTGTCTAATAAATCGTGACCTTGGAATGACAAGGTTCTAAGTCTTATGTTCTGTGTTCTAAGTGCAGTTGCGCCGTCAAGCAAAACTGACTTATCTAGAATATTAATTATTATTATTATTAATATATTGCAGGTAAGGCATTTTTGCTTAACGGGGCAGCTGCACTTAGAACCTTGTCATTCCAAGGTCACGAAATTTAAAGGTAGGTAAATATACCTTATAAAAAGAATATACTAGCCCCAATATACATTAAAATATATAGTTTTAAAAAAGCAGGTCCTTTTAGTTCTAGTTTTATTTTTTTTGTTTGTCCTTTAAAGAATTATTTTTTTCCGTTATTCTTATTAAATAAAAACTTAACAGTAGAACATTATTCACATAACGAACGTAAGATTTTCGTTTTAAATCTTATTGAAAAAATATAAAAATATTTGAAAATAAATTATCTTAAAATATCGTTAGGCGTCAATAACAGATGTTTAGTGACGGATGAGTTAATAGTTATTTACGATATAAGAGGGACAAGAGCTTTATTAACGTACGCATGCTAAATTTGCCAAAAGTACGTTAATAAAGCGTTATCACACGTATATTGTACAAATTTTTATCTACGCCTCTAAATGAAAAAATAAACGGTACCTAATTATTTTTGTCTAAAACTTAATTTAGGGTTATTTTGACATTTTGACTTTTTTATTTGATTGGTTAAAAGCAGAGAAGCGTTAATGAACTTCTTATCTCACTCAAAATGAGTGGGATAAGAAGTTCTTATCTCACTGGCGTAGATAAAATATATTGTACAAATTTTTATCTACGCCTCTAAATGAAAAAATAAACGGTACCTAATTATTTTTGTCTAAAACTTAATTTAGGGTTATTTTGACATTTTGACTTTTTTATTTGATTGGTTAAAAGCAGAGAAGCGTTAATGAACTTCTTATCTCACTCAAAATGAGTGGGATAAGAAGTTCTTATCTCACTGGCGTAGATAAAATTATTTAACCTTTCTCTGTCAGACGTACGAAGTTAAAACTTGACGGACCGATAAAATGTCATTATTTTCGAATTATATATAATTATAATTGGACCAATAAGAGCGCTCCCGGATGAACGGACTGACGGACAAACGGATACATGAAAATTAAGCTTAAGGATAACAATAACAAGGGTAGTCATGCGCAACGCGTCGCTACCTACATAACACAAAAAAATATAAAATATTAAATGAATATTTTTGCTAAATGAACTAAATAGGTATTCTAGAAATATTAGTCATTTTTATTTATATGTCTCTAAAATGTTTTTACAACATTTAGATGTCCCACTTTTTATATTTATACAATATTTTTCCACAACATTTTTAAAACATTTTTGTAAATGTTTTATATACACAACCTTATATTTTATTAATGTTTTTTCAACATCACAAAAATATCTGAAAATATTTTCGAAATATTTACAGTTCATAGCATATTTATTTTAACAATGTTTTTGTAAATTTACATTAATGTTGATAAAATGTTTCTTTTATATTTCAGGCATTCCACGTTACTCGGTAATTTTTGTCCCGCACGTCATAATTAAAAATTGTGAGTAAAAACCACCATAATATTATTTTTATTGTTCTTATAAGCTTATTACAAGCATAATAAACAATATTTTAAAATAAATTTAATAACGTGGGGTTTTTACTCACAAAAATTACCGAGTAACGTGGACTGTCCCATTTATAAAAGGGCCATTCCACGCTTAACGGATAGGACAGTTGCCGTGTTTTTATTACAAAATAATATTGTTCTATTATATTACCAATGCCAAATTTTTATAAATAGTTATAAACAAAAGCTGTTTAACAAGGTTTTTATTTGGCAAAATTAGGTACCTATCGACTATTACAAAGTCCCGTCCGTTACGCTTTAAATTATTAGTTTTTAAGGAATTAAACAGTCAAGTACGATACCTAATTTTGACAAATAAAAACCTTGTTAAACAGCTTTAGTTTAGAACTATTTATAAAAATTTGACATTGGTAATATAATAGAACAATATTATTTTGTAAATAAAAACACGGCAACTGTCCTATCCGTTACGCGTGGAATGGCTCAAAAGTCGTGTGACATTCGATAATTTTTGTGTACCTACTGTATTTTCTTTTTTGGAGTGCAAAAAGGAGATGTGGTATTCTCATAGAAGATATAGTAATACAGTGGAATACCATAGCTGGAGATATATTTTTTGCACTTTAAAAATACAAGAAAATTTAGTACAGTTCTTAATAAAAAATATAAAAAAAAAAGTTTATTTTAAAAATACTTGATAAAAATAAACAAATTATATTAATATTTTAAATAAAAAAATAAAATAAACAAATATATAAATAAACAAAACAAAAATTCTTTGGAAAAAAATTACAAAAAAAAATTTTTTCTTCAGTATCGGTTTTTCTTATTTACTTTTTTCCCTAAATTTAGCGTGAGCCAACCATTTCGTTTTCTGTCGCATTATTTGTTTTCGGATTCTTCCCGATGGAGGCTAAAAATAATTTAATTTATACAATTTTTGTCTGGTTTTAAAATTTGTGTTAATAAGAATTTTACTGATAGAATAATCGTCTTCAATAGGGTGGCAATACCCAGATAGCACAAGAGGTACCCAGGACGTCCATTTCGGGTCCCAAATAGGTCCGAACGTCCTAGACCTATATCGGAAGTTTTGGGTACGTCCAGTCTCTTACTTATTTGGGAAAATTATAGCGGATATACTGGGTACGTCCCAAGGACGTAATTGAAGCATTGTATTTCCAAAGGGTCTAAGTGCCAAGTTGGTTAAATAATATATTATCATTTAAAAATAGTTTGTGTCATGCAGAATGACTTAATAGTATATTCTGTAACAAGTTTGAAATACAGCATATCTGCTCGAGTGAAGAGTTTGTCACACGAGCTGAAGGCGAGTTTGACGGTTTCAGGAGAGCGGAATATGCAATTCCAAACGTGTTTCAGACATTTCAACATTAACATATGCAAAATATTTGTTTTTCATTGATAACTCACAATTTTATTTTTGTAACTTAGACCCCCCAGACAGCATCCAATTCAAAAAGATTTCTGTACAAAGTCTGTTGAAAAACATCTTACTGAGGTCACAATATAACATCTTAGAGAAATCATTTTTAGGAGCTCAAGATTAAGAGTTTTTGATGAATTCATAAATAAGAAGTAAATTTTTTAACATCTTAAAGTATCTTTTTTTCTGACCTCTTATTGGAATCAAAATTAGAAGCTACTAAGGGTAGGTATCATAAATAAGACTTTAGTTATATGATGATATCGTACAGTATTCTCTTTTCTTACTTCTTACTGAAATCATATTAACTCTTTAAGACGTCAACATGGAGACGTCACATTTATGACATTTTAATGCGATTCTTTCTTCTCACCGCTGTAACTGCTTGTGTTTGATATAAGAAGCGGCGAAGTAGAATTTAGAGCGTGATTCATACCAAACGGTCTTAGACCTAGGTAAACTGCTACCCGATAGTGACGAGCTCCAAACGAGGGAAACAGGCCGTCTATCGGTGCCGGTGAAGAGCACGCTTAAATTTAAACAAAAGTGAGACGAAGTAATCGCAATTCCTAAAATAAGCGAATACGAGCAAATTATTAAAATGATTTTAATAAAATCCATTTAACAAATTAATAAATTAAGACTAAATTAAGACGTCATATTGCTGTCTGTGCCTTTGGGAATACCACTCTTCAATTCTGTAAAGCTTGTCCATTAGTCCTCAATAAAGCATTTCAGGATGGCCAGAGGATGTCTTCTTTAGGACGTTCTGGGGACCGACGATTTGGTAACATCGGATGTCCCTGGAACGTCCTGGGGAAGGTTCAGGACCTGATTCGGACGTACTCGGAACTTACTAATGTCTGATACAAGATATACTCAGGACGTTTTTAGTAGGGATGCACCGGAGTTACTGCTCACCTACTGCCTCCGGCCGATCCGGCCTCTGCGGCAGCATATCCGGCTCCGGCCAAATTTTTAAACTGATCCGGCAACAACGGCCGGATTGTGGCCGGATTTTTTAAATTAAAAATAAAATATTTTTTCAAATGTTTATTATAAAAAAAAATATACTCTTTTACAAGTAACAAACATTTTTTTTTAGAAATAATTTAAAAATAGATTAAGGATTAAATTTCATGATTTAAGCGAACATAAGATAACGAAGTCCTTAAGTTATAGTGCAAAAATTCGAGTTGTTCACCTTTCTCGGGAAGAAATCGGCTATGCGCAGTTAACAGGTGATCGTATCTATGCGCACTAACTAACAGACGCCGTACGTATGCGCAGTGGTTTTCAGATGGTTGTATTATACCTATTATAATTATTGTACCTATGTTTTTTAATTATTATAACTTTTAGATTAGGTATATTAATAAATAATATATATTTATTTATTTTTATGTTACCTATTTATTATTTTTTTAAACGTTTTATAAAGATATACTTTTTAATATATTATTGGTTTTAAAAACTTTTATTTATTGATAAATATATATGTTTTTGTTTTTTCCCCTAAAATAGCTATTTAACGAACTCATTTAAGTCCGTAAAATAATTCTTTTTTTGTACTAGTACGAAAAAATTGCTATGGAAACTTTTGCAACATGGTTCTTGAACCATTGCAATACAACAATTAAAAATAAAATTCGATAATAACCTTAATTTCGAGAAATAGGTATTTACTCTATTTAAAAATATGAATATATGGACCTAGAACAAAAAAATGTTGTTTGCAACATGTACCTAAAAATCATGTTTTTTAGGACGAATCGTAGATGTTTGCGGTCGAGGCGAAGCCAAAACCAGAACAGCCGATGTTACAAAAATAGCTATAATAATACGTATATACATATGTATAATTATATTACTTTTTAACTAATATAATATGTGTATATATATTTATATATACACATATATCAGTTTTAACGCGCCAAAATAACAAGTAGGCACATGACAAAAACCTGGTGTAAAAATAAAAAAGACAATGCGCCACCTAATAATGATTACTTATAAGGTGGGCAGGTACCTAAAATATAAACACTTTTATTTATTTTTAATACGACTAGAATGCATGCGTAAAATGCAAGGTCTGTCAATTTTTCTCCTTGTTTTAAAAGACAAATGTTAATTTACTTTACATGTATTGTTGGTTGCCTGTTCGGGAACAGAAACTACACCTGCCTGTGTAAAAACACTAAGATCCGGCCGACTCCGGCGAAATCCGCCAAAATCCGGCCGGAGTTAATCCGGCCGATGACGCCGGATTACTGCATCCGGTAATCCGGCCAAAATCAAATCCGGTGCATCCCTAGTTTTTAGTACTTCTTTGTGCTATCTGGGTAACGCGGTACCGTACCGCCGTGATTTAGTACAGTACCATTCATAGATAACAAAGCCATTCATAAATAGTAATAATAATCTAAACAATAAAAATAAATCTAATACATACCTCAATCTGGATAATTTATTATTAGCGTCGCACACAGGTTTTTCTAGGGCGTCACACTTAAAACACACTCACTTTGTTGCTTTAATGATCAAAGCAAAAATGGCCGAACCATAGATTATAAAAGCCGACAGTCACTGGTGACTTTAGCGGCCCAGCCTCAGACAACAGACTTTTTTATCGAGAGGCGCTGACATCACAAAACTTTGAATTAACTTTTCAAAAAGTTTATAAATATTGTTAAATTTTCAAAAAGTTTATAAATATTGTTAAATAAGGCAGAAAGACTTCGGTCGATAGCCTTTTGGTTTTTCCAATAAATATATTTACTACTACTATTGTTAAATAACTCAACAATATTTAGGATATAATATTTACATAACATTGCGAAATAAATGTTAAAAAATATTTACATGATATTTATGAATGTTTTAGATATATTTACGCGTAACAGTTATAAAAATATTTTCCCCTGAATGTTTGTACAACATTTCATCAACCTTATATTTATAAATATTGTTCTCTAAACGGCCTGACAACATTTTTAAAACATATTGCGTTATGTGGGTAAGCACTGATTAAGCAAGTTTTCCTTATTGATAATGACTGATAAGGAAAAAAATTTCAACATATCCTCCACTAACATTAAACGTTGGTCTCTAAGATTTTAAAGTGGTTTACCCCTCAATTATCACCATAACAATAGTTGTTTGACAGTAACATGTTGGAACATGCAAATGTGACTGTTTTAACTATAAATTACCTACATGAAATTTGTGGACATTACCGGGCATTTTTTATCCTATTTAGTGGACACCCATAATTTTAGATCTGAATTCAATAGTGATGATGAAAGGGGAGATTTATGTAGCAATGTTAAGGAAGAAGAAATGGACTGTGAATTTTTTGAGGAAGTTGATACAGAATTCTTTAACAATGAAGATAATGAAGAAAAAGTTGAGGATAAAGCCATGAGCGAGATAAAAATCGAGGTGGAATATCATGGGGTTCAAAGTGATAAATCAGGGTAAGTTATACTTTGTTATTGACATTGAACATGTTACTAGATATTTCCTATAAAACTTAAGTAATAGTGACGCACCATTGCTATGGACGCTATTTTCCTTAGTTACCGACCATAAGACCTATAATGCCTATTCGCTAAAGAAGCATCGCTAGTAGCGCCACCACGTGGCTGTTATCATCATAAGCATAATAATAAATATTATGCTTAAAATCAGCTGTATGTTACAAAAGAGTGTTTTAAAGAATAATAAAATGTTAAAAATATCGAGAGAAAAATTGGAATGACTTGTTGTGTTGGGTGTTTTTCGAGAGAAAATCCTGGGTTGAGTTTTTAGCGGTTTTCCAAAAAACAGTGGAAATCCGAATGAAAAAATAAATTGCACCTATTAGATACAATAAATAGGTACACATTTTAGTAATGATTTACGTGAAAATTGTATACATTTCAATTCATAAATAAGTCGTCTAAATTCAAACAGCATCTGACATTATTAAAAGCGTTGATTGAGAAAGTCTCCACTCAACAGTAGAAAAACAATAACGGGTATTATATTATGTATTACCTATGTATATATAGGGTGTCTCAAAAGTCAAGGACAGCCGAAACGGGGAATAGTCTTTGCCGTTTTTTGATCAGACGCACCATTAATAAGTTATTAATAAATTAAAGTAGCCAACCACAGGCCTGCTCTAGCAGAATGATTAGAGGTGGGACACAAAGATATCTTTGGTGGGACAACACAAACATTTTTAGATAATATTATTATTCCATGGCTATGAACGTATATTGTGAAATGACCTTAATTTTATTTTTTCACTGTCACTGTCAGTGTTTTGGTTTTTTGGGTTAACTTTTTTGAGTGGACCTTTTCTTTTTGTTATTTTTTTAACTTGCGTCTTAATAAATAAGTTAATACAAGGTTGATGGTGATTTACTTTACTTTACTTTTTTTAAATAAGTTTAAATAATTATTTTATTAATATTAATAATAATTAATTTTAACGTTATTAATTAATAAGATATATTGGCAAATTTCCGTTAAATGTACATTTGCTGTCCCCAGCTAATTTTATTTTTATTTTTGACTTTTGTTGATAAGTTTTGTATTTATTATATTTAAATACCCCCTTCCTGTTGGGACCCATCGTATTTTTTCATGGCAGAAAAACTAGGTGAAATGTCCTGTAACCTAACTATCCCCAGAGGCGATTTTTTAATTTAAATTATTATATTATTCTTCTTCGCAGCTTTCTTCTGAAAAAATAAATTATTTTTGAACAATGGAAAGTTCTTTTATTCGTATATAAAACTGAAATTGAGACTAAAATAGTTTCCTACTAAGTAGTTTAAACAAAAAAATGCTAAAGTTGACATTCAAAATTCTTGTCTTTTTCCTAACGTCGCACTGTGGTCAATCTATCGTATTTAGTTGGTAATAATTAATTTCCTATATAGTCTAGAATTACGTTTATATTTTTGAAATAGGCCATGAAATCTTTATTTTATATAGTTACCATAGTAATAAAAAAATAAACAAATATTATAGACGTACGGTACTGTCAAAGTCAAATCCTTGTCGAAAATGTTTTAAAAGTGAATATTTAAATTATTATGAGTAGTTTTTTAAGTTTCAGTAATAAATTACATTTGTGTTTTATTAATTTTATTCTAAAAATGGAACCCATGGTAGCAATTTGATTTGTGTATTTCTTATTTTGATAAAGACTGGCAAAAAAACTTAAGAGTAGGATTTTATTTAAAACAAATTTAAAAATTTAAGATTTTGATTCTAAAACAAAAAAGTTTTACGAAGTTTCATGTTCATTTTATTTTTGTCTGTTAGGTTACGGCCATTTCAAGCGCGCGAAACGCACGAATTACAAAACTATTTTTATAAAAAAAATTGTAGATTATTTATCATATAATATTTTGGCATCAAAATTGGCAAAAATATTCTTCTTTTATTAGGTTATACATTAAATTAAAAAAAACTCAAGAAATATTTTATGAAAGTAGATATAATTTTAATAATTGAAAGGTGTGCACGGGACAAAAAAAAGATTTATCTTGTCCCGTCCATCCCTGTCAATTATTGAAATTATATCTACTTTAATAAAATATTTCTTGCGATTTTTTTTATTTAATGTATACCCTTATAATAGAAGAATTTTTTTGACAATTTTGATGCAAAAATAATATATAATAAATTAGCTACAATTTTTTTTATAAAAACAGTTTTGTGATTTGTCCCGTCCATCCGCTTGAAATGGCCGGTTACTATATTTAATATCAATCTGACTAAAAATAATTTCCATCGACTTCCATTTTGAGATAGACCGTAATTTTTAAGGAAATGAGGGTCGCGTATGTTCCAGTTTTTTCAATGTAGAAATTATTTATCACGTGCTATAGCACTTGATATAGACTTGTATACAAGTCCCATCGCACTGAATAAGGCTCTTTTGTTTGTTAAAACCAAAATTAAAAATGAAAATATGTAAGATTAAATTGAAAAATATATTTCAAATAAAATGAAGCAATTTTCAACAAATTTGCTTTTGAGGTGGAAAAATGCCATCAAAATGTAAATCGCTTCTTAGATAAATATTCTTCATGGTCGGAAAAAAAATTTGACCGATATATCAAATTCGAGTGGGTTAAAATACAGAAAAGGTCGTCCGAAAAAGACATTTGCAAAAAGTGATTTAACCATGAAAAAAAGAAAAATTAGTCCTTTAGTAAAATCTCAAACTCCAGAAAAACTTGCTTTGGCTACAGAGGTTAGTTACAGGACCTCAGGAAGGTGAAGTTTTGCGCAGTTAATAAATAAAGTAACAAATAGTAAAAATGGCTCTTCAACCATCTGATGCGAGTAAGCTAATATTTAGTTACTCACCAGATAAAGCACTGGCTTTGATGGTTGATTTAAAATTAACAAAACATCCATACATTGCAATGCAAAAGGGTGCAAATAAAAGAAATATTAATCTCTATCCCCCGTATTATTTGGTGCTTCAATCCAAAGTTAAGTGTTATCCCAATGAGATAGTCATTTTGGAAAATTCAGCCGAAATTAGGTTGCAAAAATTATTAGATCATACCAGGTCGAAATTCAAAATGAAGTTTTGTTAAACCATAAACCTGCAATTTCTTCTTTATTACTACAACTGGAGTATAAATAGGGCTTAGTGGCAGTCATTCAATAAAATAAATTTCAATAAAAGAATTAAAAATTATAGAATAATATTTTTAAACATTTAGGTTGTTTATGGTTGCTCTGGTAGGCTTTTTTGTTTTACCCTGTATAATATAAGAATATTTTAGTGGTTATTTATATTGTAAACTATAAACAAGCCAATATTAAATAAAAATACCATAATTTTATTATCCAAATAATAATTTTGTTTTTTGTACTGCTAATTTTGACAAATTGACCACAGTGCGTCGTCTTCTATGCCGACTGCTTCGAAATAGAGATACAATCGTGTTATTTCTAGAGGGCATCCAGTTTGATAGTTCGGCAACAACAAGTGAGCACGTGTAAAGTGTGTGCATTTTTTTGTAAATATTTTAAAGGTAAGATTTATTTGCGTACATTTTTTGGTGTCTTTACAAAAGGCTACGTACAACTCTTGTTTACGAAGTTTTTTTATTTTCATTTTGTATTATAGCATAGTAGAAAGGCCAAACAAATGCCGACAGATGCAACCTAATCTTACTTTCTGGAATTAAAAAATAAATAGGCAGATGTCCTTTACCTAACGCTAGGTTTAGTCTTTACCCTAATTTTCATTCTCAAATCTTTAGCGTTAGGATAATGACCGAGTGTTAGGAGAATGACTACATATTCATTATTTAGGCTGGATCGTTGTTTTAGGATTATGTTTAATACTATCAAAGCCGCCGAAGTTAAAGAAAGATTAAAGAAGATGAAAGAAGAAAGTTTGGAGAGAAATAAAAAACAGCAAGAAGAAAAATATGAAAGGAAAAAAAGACTGCAACGGGAAAAGTATTGGCGCAAAAAAACGGAGGGTTAGTTGATTAACCTTATTTTTTTATACAAGTGACAATTTCTATGAGAATGGATTTTACTACATACATGCTCTGGGATAGTGATTTTAAACAGACTACAGATGATCCCAAGAAACATTTTTGATTATATATGTAGTGTATTGAGTCATTCCAAATAAAAATACCAAATGTTTTGCGCTGCTTGATTTATTATTTTGATAAAAAAAATTGAGGATCTTTTAGGTATCAAATATGAAAATCCGTTGGCGTTTTAATTTTTGGATTTTTTACTTTTAATCGGCACCCTTTAGAAATCTGAAATCGTGTCAATTTCTTACTCTCTTATAGTGGGTCAGAACTTTTTTTATGTGACAAATATTGAAATGATTTTAATTTTGTTTTACTGTTTAGTAACTGTGTTTTTGATATAAATTATTATTGTCCAATTAGTTAACCTCATAAAAGAATGGTAAACCACTAAAGATTCATGATAATTTGCCAATTTTTGTGATTTTTATCTGGCTCCTGTGCCTATTCTACTAAATCTAGAAAGTTATTTTTTTTCAGGTATCAACGTAACTATTATTTTAAGTTTCTAGGCTATCATTATCTTTATTAAAAAAATTATTGAAACTTGATAATTCTTAAAATTAGTCAATTTTGCCCTCAGAAATCATTATGTTGAGGAAAAAATAAAAATCTAAAAATTTCAGGAAATGTAGTCCCCACCTTCATCTTTTCAGTCCAGTTAGTCTTGTTTTGTTATTTTTATTCCTTTAAAAGATATATTAATTTTTTTAATGCCCATTTAGTAGCGATATTGTTAGTTTTATTTATAATTAAAAATTTAGATGGCTTTTATGTTTGGTGGAGAAGTCTCAGAACTGTCAATAATATTTCATATAGTATATTGTGTCTCAAGGGCAGAAAACTAGCTTTAGCAGCCCGCGGATATTAAATGCGCGAGCGAGCGAAGCGAAGCGAGGGCAGTTGATAGCTAAGGGCTGCTAATGCGTTTTCTGAATGTGTGACACACACCTGTTTATCGCCTAGCATCAAACAAATTATTTTTTTAAATTTTATTAATATAAACGGAATTTTATAAGAAACTTCAGTACCAATTTACAAATTTATTTATTGTTGTATTTAATGTTAATTATGCCTTGAGCACAATTGTGGATAGTACCAGAATTTGAAGGCTTATTTCTACAGATGAAGTTGATGTTTCATTAGAATTATCTTTGATCTTTCCGATAGATAAGCAACTAATACATTTTCTGTTTTTGGCTTTTTGATCCTTTTTCCAGTTTTTAAATAATTCATAGCACTTTTCGTACCGTTGCAACGCATTGTCTTAACATTGCTAGCTTCCTCTTTTTCAAATGTGGTCAAGTAAATTTTTCGTCAATGTCCGAGTTACCATTCATTTTCACTTTATTACAAAATTTAAATAAGGTTTTATTGTTATTTTATACTTTTGTTGTCCGTTTTTATTTTGATTTACACAAACGTCTGAAAATCTTAAATGTCAAAATGTCAAATGCCAAAATACATAAATGTCAGTCAAAGGTGTCTAGATTGTGAAAAACTACAAAAATCAAGTTTAGCGGCCCTAGGGACGATATGAGTTTAGCGACCCTAGAGACTATAAATATTATTTTCGGTCATATTTTTAGGTTTGATATGATTCATTTTTATATGTGCTGGGCGAAAAAATATTATTTGTGCTTATTTGGTAAATTTTGTATATAAAATAATATGTCATATTATGTTATATATAAAACTTTTTAAAATCACCAAAGGAATACCACAAATAATAATTATGAAAATTTTTTGACTTCTGATATATATTTGGTAGTTATGTTATATTTTATGTATTATATAATCATATATATGATTAAATATATATTTATGATTAAATATTATATACCTACATTATAATGAAGTATTTAATCGGCTAATTGGTGTTTAAAGAAGAAGAATGTAAAACATATATTCAAGATCCTTATGGTTTATATCGTAAAGTATAATAAGTGAAATTAATAAAGAGTTAAGCAGTTTTTGTCGGTTTGTCGGTATTTTAAATGTTAGTGTTGGAAAAAAATGTACACAATCTGTAAATACTTCTTTAAATTTTAGTTTTTAGGTAACGGGTTAAAATAAAACATGTTATAATAAAGAGGTTTATTTAAAATATTTTTTGGTTTTTGCTTATTTTTAACAATTTAAAACTTCTCAGAACTTGAATATTTTCTATAATAAGAAAGAGGTACAAAATTATGATATGTTCTTGCTTTTTTAATTGCAATTAAATTCATGAATCTCGAACACTCCGTCATTTATTACACTTGCAAACTTGCAAACTTTTTGAAATCACAATTTAAATACGCACAAATAATATTTATGAAATATTTTTGACAGTTCTGACATTTCTCTATCAAACATGAATTGACTAAGTCAAAGCCATCTAAATTTTAAATTATAAATAAAACTAACAATATCGCTTCTTAACTGCATTAAAAAAATTATTATATCTTTTACATGGATAAAAATAACAAAACAAGACTAACTAGACTGAAAAGATGAAGGTGGGGACTACATTTCCTGAAAGTTTCAAATTTTAATTTTTTCCTCAACATAATGATTTCTGAGGGCAAAATTGGCTAATTTTGAAAATTATCAAGATTCAATAATTTTTTTTAATAAAGAAAATGATAGTATAGAAACTTAAAATAATAGTTAGGTTTTTTATTGTATAAGTATTTGATACGTAAAAAAGCAACTTTCTAGATTTAGCAGAATAGGCACAGGAGCCAGACAAAAATTGGCAAATTATTACAAATATTTAGTGGTTTACCATTCTTTTATGAGATGAACTAATTAGATAATAATAATTAATATTTAAAACAAACTAGGCAGTAAAATAAAATTACAATCATTTCAATAATTGACACAGAAAAAAAGGTTTAGCCTCCTATAAGAGAGTAATAAAATGACAAATGATTTCAGGTTTCTAAAGGGTGCCGATTAAAGATAAAGCAACTAAAAATTAAAACGGCAACGGTTTTTCATATATGATACCTAAAAGATCATCCTCAAATTTTTTCATTAAAATAAAAAATCATGCAGCGCACTTTTAAATTCATTTTTGGTGTTTTCATTTGGATTGACTCTATTACAAAAAAGTGTGACATATTGACATATTTTTTTTAATTACATACCATAGATACCCTATATTTTTTTGTCATCCTAACGAATTTTTCTGTCTTATAGGTGCTTTGCAGTGCCCAGAAGAGGGAAAACCTAAAATAAGGCAGCCAGGAGGAAAGACTGAAAGTACGACCAGTAAAACAGAAGTTAAAAAAACACGAAACAATATTGATAGGAAAAGAGCCCTAAATAGAGAAAGACAACGTCGATATATTGAGAAGATCAAAAGTAACGAAGAACTTGAGCAAATTTATAAAGACCAGCAAAAAGAAAAATATAAAAAACGAAAGGCAGCAGGAAAAATTATATCAATAGAGAAACTAACCCCTCGTCAAAAAAAATATCAGAGGGAAAAGTGGAAAGAGGTAAAACAGAAATATAGGCAACAAAAAAGACATCTAAATCAGGTAATTGAAAACACACCACCCAGCACTCCTCCAAACAGTCGACCTACTACTCCAATTTTGCAAATCGCGCCCGAATGAAATATTCGTAAGACGACTAATAAGGAGATCCTATACAAATTACTAGAATTTGTACCAAAATCCCAAGTTCCAAAGAAGTAAACAAGAAATGTGAGAAGATCAAGCTAAATCCAATCGAGAGATAATGTTATTAAAGAAAAACCTGTCACAGTCAAAGGCTAAATACGCTAATTTGCTTTAGTGATAAATCCACTTTTTTTCTAAATGGTACTGTTAATAGACAAAATGTACCCTACTGGTCAGATGTTAATCCACATTTTTTTCGAGAAGGTCACACCCAGTATCCGCAAAAAGTTAATGTGTGGGCGGGAATACTGGGAAACCACATCCTAGGCCCCATCTTTTTGGAACAAAATTTGACAGGTATTCTGTATCTTAACATGCTTCAAACTCAAATTCAACCAATGATTGAGGAAATAATCAATACCTATCCTGATGAATTTGACAGAGAAGTCATATTTCAGCAGGATGGAGCGCCCCCACATTATTTTAGGGATGTTAGACAATGGCTTGATAACAGTTACCCAAATCGGTGGATTGGTAGGCGTGGTCCTACCGAATGGCCGGCTCGTTCTCCCGATTTAACGCCACTTGACTTTTTTTGTGGGGATATTTAAAATCGAATTTTAAATTTTTCTTAATGAATTAAAACCAAAATAAAACGTGTTTTTAAAAATTTTAAACTCTAATAACTAAGCTATGGTTAAACGGATTTAAAAAAAAATATATCCAGGAATCATTGAAGATGTTGTGGATGACCATGACAATCTAGGCCGAGGGTATTCTATGTAAGATAAAAGTACCAAAACCGATCACTAAACGCCACTACATATGCGAAGAAATCTCTTCACTTAAGGATGATGTGTTTGGTTAAAAACCTTGTTACCACTAAAGTACAAACAAGTTTTATGTAAATATAAGTTTTTTTTTTTAATTTATAAAATATTTGTTGAGTTTTTTATTCTGAAACTTGGTTATGTAACTTAATTAAGTAAGATTTTTTAATGTTTCTTGTTTTGTTAGTTAGGATTTTTTTAAATGTTTTTTGATTTTTATTAATAAACGTTTTGAGATTTATTACCGACTTGTCATAACCCTAACGCAAGATCATTACCATAACGTTTCTTCCACGTTAATTTTTTTCAATGTTAGGTACTGAAACTCTGGATTTATATTTATTTATTTATAACAAATTCCTTTAATAATAATAAAAAAATTTTTTAAGAAAGTAAGAAAAGATAAAGTACAGGGTGATCCCCTATAATGTCGCCCCCTTTATTTTTTTTTATTTTAAGGGTCCCAAAAAATTTAAAAGTGTGGTTATGTAGGTACTAAAAATTTTTTTTCTACGTCAGTATACAGGGAAAAACAAAAAGTTTTTTTCTTCAATGGATCAACATACTATATACGTAAATTTAACCGTTTCTGAAATATTTATATTTATATTAAATTATTCTTAAGATAATAAAATGAAATAGTTTGTCTTTCTCTGTCTGAGTACGCCATTTTTACTTATTTAACAAGACATATTGACATAATGTCACTATAAAAATTTATTTTCGTAAGTAATATAAGGGCATCTATTTTTTCCGAAAAAAATCGAAAAAACACGTTGATAAGTATTATTTTAACAAGAAGTATGAGTGCTGGTGGCAACAAAAATCCGAGTCGATGACGAGGATTTTTGCACCTGCACGAATGCATTTTGTTAAAAAATATTAGTTAGCATTGTGTTTTTTCGCAGGAAAAATTAGTTGCCCGAATGGTATTTGACAAGACTATTTCATGAGTAACAGTTAACAATTAAAATATAAATTGTAATTTTTGGTGACAACAGCTGTCAAGTTTTGCCGCGGGTAAACTCGAAAAAACTGCTGACAGGTGCTGTCCACCTAGAAACCATTTGTAATTCAAAATTGCGCGTTTGTGATTGGTGGAAATTAATAGTCAATAAAAATACTGAGGATTTTTGATTTTTTACAGTTTAAAAAAACATTTAATGATAACATTTCGAATGCGAATATTTCAGAAACAGTTGAATTTAGGTAGTTACATAGAACTATGGTTCTATGGTTTGTTATATGAATTATGCTCAGAATTTTACAAGGAATCTAAAAATAAATTCAAATATAGGGTGATCCCTGTATACTGATCAATTTTCCTATTTTCTTTATTCGTAGAAAAAAGTATTTTTAGTACCTACATAACCACACTTTTAAATTTTTTGAGACACTTAAAATAAAAAAGTTAAATGGCGGCGACATTATAGCGGATCACCCTGTACATAAATATTTATCATAAAATTATTTAAAAAATCTTCTTTTGTTTGCAGCAGTGTAATAGTTCATTTATAATCTTTTGTTTAATTTTGTACAGTATACTGTATACATATTTACGTTTAACAGTATTTCTGAAAAATAACGTTTAAAAAAGTCAAAAGCAATTGCTTTTAATGTGTCATAAAACCTTCAGGAAGATGCGTTAGAAGGACGACAATGTTTCATTTCTTCCTTTTGTTCCTTCCCTATAAGTTTTATTTCTTTAAAGTTTATTTTTGTTATTTATAACTTCTAGAATTTTTTTGCAGTCTATCACAAAGGAAAAAAATCGATCAAATTGACCTGCCTGGACAAAATATATATCCAAAATATACATTTAACGAAAATTCACCCGTATGTTAATAGTTTTGTATAAAAAATCAAACCCCTTGACTTAGCTGACTTAAGAATAAGATTAACGCTGGCGCACAGTGTTTCAATTCTCGAAATTTTCGGCAATATTGCCAAAACATTGACGGAATAAATTGAAAATCACCATACAGAGTTTTTGGGGTCGCTGATAACGAATCTGGAATCAGAATTCCAAAATTCAAAATGGTAGATCCAAAATGGCGGACATATTTGTAAAAAAATTGACGAAATTAATTGAAAATCGCCATACAGGGGTTTTTGTGGTCGCTGATAATGAATCTGAAATCAGAATTCCATAATTCAAAATGGTGAACCTCAAATGGCGGACATTTTTATCAAATATTGTCGAAATTAATTAAAAACCCGTAAGAGGTTCTTTTTAAAATGTAATAAAACATCTTTTTATAAAATAGCTTAATTTAGTTTAATATAATTACATTTATATGATATTATTTAATACCTACCGTAAACACGGGTGGCTTTAGCTCACTTTTAAACTTAATCTTAACATTTTTGTAGTTTTAACAATCATAAACATTAAATATTGTATACCAAAATTTGAGTCTTGAGTTGCTCTTTAATAATAACTATGTTATAATCTTACATAGGGCTGAGTTTCAAAAATAAAAATTAAAAACTGGGTGTGCAAAGTTACCCCCTGGTTGCGGGTTACTTTGTCTCACAGTGTATTTTCCGTATAAAATTAACTCAGTATTTTATTTTATTTTTATTAGACACGTATTAGCAGCGACATATATCTATTGCAAGGGATTTCCGATATAAAAAAAAAATCGACCTGTAGTTAATATAGAAATTAAAAGGCTTGTATTTTTAAGAGTTTTGCACTGATGCAATATATACAATTTTAAAGTGTAATAAACCCCATTTATTTTTTTTTAAACTGATTTTCCTGTAATATCCTGTAATATAAACTTAATTGAATCGCTTAATTGACAGGTTTAGACCAACAAATTATAAATGTTAATTTTATCGAGCGCGAAAAGATTTTTCATAAAAGGGCTAAAGTCACCCGCGGAGTGCAAAGTCACCCGTGTTTACGGTACATACTACAGTATTACTCATTAGTTTTTCAGTTTCTGTAATCAAATAATTATGGAGCAAACACACAAAAGCAGTTAAATTTATTCTGATCTATTGGCCAAAAATGTGTTCAGCCGAGTCCCCCAAATATTTAAAAACTATTAAAGGAAATGTTGCTCCTTTTGGGTTGTTTCTGTGTCTGTTTTTCCTCAAAATGTGTGCTCCACAATTATAGTTCTTCAATGTAATTTTTTTAATATTTCCGAAACATATGAAGATAGGTATAGGACATTGTACATAAAATATGTCTAGAATGCTTGGGCGAATCCAAAAATTGAATAATATACAGGGTGTTGCATTTGAAATAAGTATTGGTCACTGCTACATGACACACCCTGTACAAAAAGTTTTTATTAAATGCGCAACAAAAAATACGTTTTTTTAAACACGCCACCATTTATGTATTATAGAATTTATTCCATTTGCCTGATACACACTGTATAAGAAACGCTTGTATTTTTAAGAGTTTTGCACTGATGCAATATATACAATTTTAAAGTGTAATAAACCCCATTTATTTTTTTTTAAACTGATTTTCCTGTAATATCCTGTAATATAAACTTAATTGAATCGCTTAATTGACAGGTTTAGACCAACAAATTATAAATGTTAATTTTATCGAGCGCGAAAAGATTTTTCATAAAAGGGCTAAAGTCACCCGCGGAGTGCAAAGTCACCCGTGTTTACGGTACATACTACAGTATTACTCATTAGTTTTTCAGTTTCTGTAATCAAATAATTATGGAGCAAACACACAAAAGCAGTTAAATTTATTCTGATCTATTGGCCAAAAATGTGTTCAGCCGAGTCCCCCAAATATTTAAAAACTATTAAAGGAAATGTTGCTCCTTTTGGGTTGTTTCTGTGTCTGTTTTTCCTCAAAATGTGTGCTCCACAATTATAGTTCTTCAATGTAATTTTTTTAATATTTCCGAAACATATGAAGATAGGTATAGGACATTGTACATAAAATATGTCTAGAATGCTTGGGCGAATCCAAAAATTGAATAATATACAGGGTGTTGCATTTGAAATAAGTATTGGTCACTGCTACATGACACACCCTGTACAAAAAGTTTTTATTAAATGCGCAACAAAAAATACGTTTTTTTAAACACGCCACCATTTATGTATTATAGAATTTATTCCATTTGCCTGATACACACTGTATAAGAAACGCGTCACTCATCTGTTTCAAGTTTGGTCAAAATCGCTGATGTCAAGGCTGATAGGTGGCAGGATTGGCGCGTATTGCCTCTTATAAAAAATGTATTTAGTGTGTAAATTTAAAATGAAATGTTTTTGTAGGATCAACAGTAAAGGAAAACAGGAGGAAAAAGATGACGTGGAAAAACTTAAATGTAACAAATGTGAATATGCAACTGCGAAGAAAGGTCATTTTAATCGTCATTTAAAAATTCACGACAAAAAAAGTCATTTAAAATGCCATTTTTGCCAGTACACAGCTGCTAGATTAATTAATTTACAAGCACATATTCTAAGTAAACATAGAATAGAAAATAAAGAAAAAAATAAAATAAAAATAACAGGTAAAATTCACCAGTGCCCCAAATGTTCTTACTCAACTGTTATTAAAACAAATTATGATAACCATAGTATGGTTTGTTTAGAATCAAACAATGTTAAAAGATTTAAATGTCACCTTTGCGATTTCAGGACTCTTCAAAAAAGGAATTTGAACAGTCATATAAAAACTCATAATGAAATAAAAGAACTAAAATGTTTATTTTGCAAACATCGGTGTATTAAAAAACAAAATTTAGACAACCATATTTTAATTAAACATTCAAATTTGT